TTTCAGTGTTGACATGGATAATGGCGTAGGCGTGACAAGTCGAACACCTCTTGGGAAGCACTGCTGGCGATTCAGACAAGAGGGCATGACGAGGCGGAAAGCGAAATGCGTTAATATGTGGCTTAGAAAACTAGCGTCAAGACCAAGAAAGGCTTCTTGCATAGAAAGCGGAATCAAAGGGACAATTGAGGATCCATTCGAAGTAGGCATTCAAAACTGTAGATGTATGCTCCATCTAGCTGAGAAATTGTTTTGTAAAAGATGTAAATGCATGTGTGGCTGCCTGTTCTAATTTTTTTTTCTTTTTTGAAAATTATTTCTGTCTCACTGTAAGATGTTCCAGAAATTGCCGCAGTTACCGCGTACACTGGAGGCCGATCCCATCGACTGTAGCGATATGTATTTTTTCATTCAACAAAATCGGCGGCTAGCAACCACTTCACCACTTCGACGTCACTCGAAACCTGCTAAGAGCTCCTCATCCCATGCGGCCACTGAAGAGAAGTATATATTGTGGCGCTCGCTAGCTGCTGATTTACGGTTGTTTCCGGGGACGAGACAGATCCCTCAGAGTTTTTCTCGTGATGTGCGCCATCTTGATCAAACTTATTCACGTGAAGTGCACAAAGTGGCAGTGATTTATGTTGCTAAAGGACAAGAAGTACGTTATTGGAAGAATTTCCAATTACTATTAAATGGGTGTAGGATTTTCAGGAGGAGGAGGTGGGGAACACTACGGGGGATGCTGATCATTTGTTGGCTGTAAAAGATTGTCTGGTTGCTTTTGTCTGGATGAAATTTAGTAATAAACAGCTCCTTTTGGCTTTCTCAGTGCGGGAACGGAATGCCTCTCAGAACGTTGTTTTTCCTCTGGAAAAAGTAGTGCTTTTTTGCTACTTAGCTGTTCGGTGTGGAGCGTGTGTCGATGTATAATCATGGACTAACATTTTTTAGGACAAAGTTTCGGTTCTTTCAAATAGTTTTGGTTCGGATGCGTTTAATGAATTTGTGTCGCATTTGGGTTGGCGAGTAGAAATTGGTCGACAGCATCATGGCTACAATGGTGGTCTTCCGAGTGGTGCCGTTACACCATATTATGCATCCGCTGACACGGAAATTGTTTTTCATGTCAGCACAATGCTCGATGGTTCGCTTTCAGTTTTTGCTTTAACTACCAGAAGTGTTTTTACATAGCAGTGGGTACGTTTCTGCAGTGGCTTGTTGTAGGGCAAGAACGACAGCTGAGTCAGTGCCGTAATTTTGAGCTCTACGCTACGGCAATCACATCAAAAGGCGATGAAAAAAAAAAAAAAAAACACAAAATAGGGAAAGGGAGGTTACCGCGGATGCATTTTCAGCTTTTGGTTTAAACGATTTGTAGTTCTACTGTTGGGCAGTTGGCTTCCATCTTCTCTGTGGATTGTTTCAGCCACCAAATTATTTTTTGTCGTTTCCTTTGTGGCAAGTCAGACGGTTTCCGTGGTAATTTTCTGGTGTTTCCTTATCAATTTTCAAATTGTGCTATATCGTCATACTTTGTGAGGATGCAAAAAAAAA